GACGCCCGGCGTTGCAGTCTCCATAGGCCGCGCGACGTCGGCCTGTGGCTGTGACAGAAGGCGATGGCCAGTAAGCAAACGGAAAAGAAGACGCATCTTGAGGAAGATGGCCGGTGAACTAGGCAAATCGGCATGTATGTTTAATGTGGTGCAAAAGTGAGCTAAGCGCAACCTTAATGTGAGAATTGTGGGGAGGGGAGTTAGTACTGCTGCCCTCCCCCCGCCTTGAAGAGTGCGGGGCCATGGCCCCCGGCCCCCCCCCCCCCCTGTATATCCACGCCTGGAACCCTCTGGGGAGCCATTTACACGTTATCAAATGCTTGGGGAGGGTCATACCGCCACAACCGTGTGTTCTTTCACCTCCTGCCAATTCGCATCTGCCAGACCAAGTACCACCCAGCTGCCCTCAAGAATCCAACTCCAGGTAACTACTAATACTAGAGTGGGGAGAGCGTAATTGCACGTATACGGGAAACGTACTCCCCAATGATGGACCACCAAATCACAACCTTGCAACGAGTGAAAGCCCCATGTTCGAAGCCAGAGAAGTTGTGTTATTAGTTTTGTCCCATGACGTGAAAGCTGAATTAACAGTCGTCATTGGGACCTTACGAGGCACTCTGCTGCTGAGGCTGTGTGGTGTCGGCTGGCAGGAAGGCTGGTCTCTGCGGGGAATTCACACACACCACACACACACACACACACACACACGCACACACGCACACACACCCACACACACACACCCACACACACACACACACACACACACACACACACACACACACACACACACACACACACACACACACACACACACACACACACAAACACACACACACACACACATATATATATATATATATATATATATAATGTATGCCTTTACACCACAAAGATCATTTATCAACGTTAGTTGACTTTCAAATAACCATACATCCTAATGCGATCATGCCGAGGTAAGTCATGTAACAGAAGGTCACGAAGTCCGAAAGTCATTGTTTTCCCAGAGTATGATATTGAAATGCACGCCGTAATATCAAAGCCATGCGTTTTTGAGTGATGCGTTTTGTTTGTATATTCTTACCGGTGTTACAGAATATACGCACGGCTGCTCATGCCCTGCATCGGTAGCTACTACGCTGTCGACACTCCGACAGGACGCTGCCATACCCACTATATCCCAAAAAGCTCAAATTGAACCAAATTAAAAACCTTCCAAATGAATTCAGAGCACCGGATGATCTCTTGCAACAGTCCACAACAAAACATGACATATGGGATGTCATTTTCTTCTTTTGGCAGTCGACTATGGTGGAATGCTTCAGCTCCTACGTTCCTATAAATTCACAACATTTTGTAACCGCTTCCACCATGATATCTGGCATAAGCCCATCACGAACATTCTGCAGTCACAGAAAGCTCTCCGGAACATTCTTTGCCGTGTGCGGCAGAAATTGTGTGTCTTTTTGGTGATCCGCGGCAAACAACTGGCAAATGGCGATGTGCTAGAACTGACATGAGATAGAATTGAGGTGTCTGAACGCGACTAATTGCAATGAAGCCGACGCGTTTGCCATACCAGCTTCTTCACTCTCTCTATGAACGTGCTACTTTCTCATCGTGGTGGTTTCTTACGTTGGTTTGGTGATAGTATTTTGGAACGCCACTAGTAACTGGGTTTCATCCAACATCTCCGCAGTCTGCAGAAAGCCGTGGCCTGTCACTGTGACAATGTGGACATGTATCATGGCACGTCCACGTGACGTACACACAGGTCGCGCACGTCTTCGACAGCCCCGCGTGCCTGTCAACCGCCAGGTTCGGCCGGGACCGGCCCGAGAAAGTCCCTGCGTCGTCAGCAGCTTGCGATCGCCGGTCCGGGGAAATCCCGACTGCGCCGCCAGCTGGCGCGGTCGGAGCCGGCCCGGTCGGATGGCGCCACTGGCTAATTGTGACGTCACCACAATCTCTTTCGCCGGCACGTGAGTCACCTGTTTTGACGCGTGCCTGCGCAGTCTTCGACGCAGACGCATGTGTCCGCGCGAAGACGGGGGCGGCGCACCCCCCGCCTTCACCGCGGGGCCGTCCACGTTCGTCCACGGATCCGAGGCGAGCCGAGGCGCGCGTTGTGATGGGGCTTGGCGTCAAGTGACCAGGCGAAAGGCCGTGGTCATGCATTCAGTCGGAGAAGCCGCCTTCACAGCTCTTTCGGCAGCCCAAAGCAATCACAGTTTCTGGATTTGGAGCAGCCACACCCCGTAAAAGGGGGAAAAGTAGCCAACGCTTTGTAAAACTTTCGGAGAAGCAGAGTTTCTTAAATGTCGGATACGTTTCTAGTGTGGTAATACATTCAGCAACGTTCATCAAACGAGCATATTTCTAAAATGTGGTTACTCTAAATGTTAGCAACAGCTTCTCGCTACCTAACCCGTTTTTCAAAAGTGAATGCAGGGTGCAAACAGAGGGGACGCTTTTGGCCCACTTTTTACCCTAACACCACATACTTGATAAAACTCACCCGTCACTGCGAGAGCTGCGGGAGCGAAGGCTATTTGTTGCACGTGTGATTTGGTTTCTTGGTCGCGGTAAGACGCATAAGGCACACATTTCGAGGAACGTATTCAAGCTTTTGAAAGTTTTGCTGGCCATGACTACGATCCTGCTCAAATTAAAGACGGTTTCATAACTGATGTAACATTGCGTCTGTGAAAAGTTTGCGGAGGGACTAAGACCTGGCATTAGTACTGCACCGGAAGTTCATCCGTGAGAAGAAGAAGAAGCTGTGGGCATTCGCCCGTCACACGTCCTGCCACCACGCCGACCAGGGTCGCCGGAGAGAAGCGGCCGTCCTGCCGCCGCCCCGACCGCCCGGCACACGGTCCCGGTCGCTGCAGTCGGGCCGCTCACTGCACGGGAGGTCCGCGGCAACGGCCCCCACCGCCGCCCGCCGGCGATCTCAATGACCAAGCCCCCAACTCCCTCGTTTGGCCGGCCCAGGTCATGCCGCCGTCTAGCCGCATTATGCCACCTATAGTGATATTTCAGCGTCCTCACAAGGCGCAAAAGCTTCTGTAGGGTAGTTTTGGATGTTTTTTGCAAAAGGTTGCAGAATATTGCAAAAGCGATTTGCAGCCAAACAAGGCAACGTATCGCACTAAGACCGCTACCACTGGTTGCAATAGGATGAAAGCCTCTGAAGAAGCAACTGCAAAGTTGCAAAAAGTTGCACAAATGTTGCACAGCGCGCACCCCGCTGCAGCAATACACACGCCCGGTCATCACTGTACTTGCCCCTGAAATTGCGACCGCACAGGCTCAAAACCTTGGATGTAATTTTTTGCGTTGGTCGATTTTGCACAAGAGTAAATGTTCTCCGGCAAAAATGGGTTTACCCTCATTTTTTGAACTCATTTCAATCTACTCAAATTTAACACTACTGAGACCTCTTACTTTTTATGGGCAAGGGGCCCATTGAGTAGAACACTTGGGGGGCACATCATCGTTCCCGTTCAAGGGCCGGAGGGCCATTCCGTTCCAGCGCGGGGTACGTTCCGGCTGCGCAAAAGACTCTCTGTCATTCGGGGGTCCCGTCTTTGTTAAGTGAACTTTTCCCTGACCGACCAGAGTGCCTTTGTCGACATAGGACAATGGGTTATGCACTGTGGGTCCCTGACCGAAACCCTCATTATTGCAGGGACCTGACCGATGCAAATCACGGGTCCGGTCTTGCTTGTGCTTGGGAAATGGTCCTTCGGGGCTCAGGCCGACACGGAACCGACTGTTCGGTGTTGGAAGTCTCTGGCCGAAAACGAGACCCGCACCGTCCCACGGGTCCCCAATCAATGTAGGATACCCACTGACTGGCATTTGAGACCACGGCTCTGCGGGCGGGAAGGCCGTCCTTATTGGCTAAGGCTCCTAAGGCTAGTCCTTCGGGCACTTCAGCCAGTTCAGCCTTCCAACCATACCCTGATCTTTGGTCCCCAGGGCCCTTCGGTCCCTCTTCGTGGTTGCCTCCTCAAATAAAGTTCGTGACGGACTCGGGGCCACTTGCTGACAGATGCCCCTCTGTTGGGACCTGCGGGCCGCTGACGGACACAGCGGCCCCAATCATTGTTTCAGGGATAAAGACCAATGCAAATCGTGGGCCCCGGGCCTGCTCCTGCTTGGAAAGTGGGCCCACAGGGTTCAGACCGACACAGAGCCGACTGTGCGGTACTGGTGACGCCTGGCGTATGTACAGGCCATGATCGACTCAGGGAGTCCCCGATCGACGCAAAGGGCGCTCTGACTGTCAGCTTAGGGCCCGACTTCGCAGGCCGGGTCCCTGAAGAAGAATTCAGCCGGCTCTTTGGGGCCTTATGTCATCCAATCGAGCCCTTAATCGTCGGCCCCGTAGGCCCGCCAGGCTCTCTTCGGGCCTAGTCGAACATTGTCTCTGGCCGAATCGGGATTCCTTGTCGTTGCAATGCTCTTTTTAGGCACTGTGAGTCCCTGACAGATGTTGGGGTCCCGGCCAATGCAAATGGCTACCCCAAGCTTTCTCCCTGCTTGGAAAATGAGTCCGCAAGCACATACCAACACTAAGCTAACTGTGTGGTACTGGTGGTTTATGACCAATGTATGTATAAGCCCTTATATGTTGAGCCCCTCTGCCTGGCATTGGGGTGCCCGGTCCTTCGGGCCGGGACCCCTGAATACCATCTCGGGGGAGCGGGCACGTGGCCCCTGGGCTTCCTTGTCTGCGCCACTGCCCCAGTCCATCCGCCCGGACTGCTTGCACACCTGGTGGTAGAATATGGAACTGCAATTTTACCTGACTTGGGGCCATGCACTTAAAAGCCCGTAACGCACGCCAGACCTGGCAGAGCGTACCGAGGCCCTAGCGGTGGCAGAGCGTACCGAGGCCCAGCAGTGTTGCAGTGTACCGAGGCCCCGGCAGGTGACGGAGCGTACCACGGCCCCAGCGGTGGCAGAGCGTACCGAGGTCCCGGCAGTGACAGAGCGTACCCAGGCTCCGGTGGTGGGTGGTACGCCCGTGTTCTGGGCCGTTTCCGCGCGGACTGAGCTAGCTGCCGCATTGGTGGCCTTTTGACCGGTGCAGCCTTTCAGATCAGGCAGGATGGGCGTCCAAGGCTGCTGCGGCTGCTTCAACTTGCGCGATGGAAGCATCGCGATCGGCGTCACAGTTCTCACGTTCTATATCCTGTCCTTCGTGTTCGGCGTTGGGATGTGGATCTTTGCTGCTTCCAAGCACAGCCCGGCGGGCCAGCACATGCAGCCGTGGGTGATAGCCGTCGTCACCACCATCTTCGCCATCCACATCCTCTTCAACAGCCTGTTGGTGCACGGCGCGCGGAAGGGAGTGCGCGGCATGCTGCTGGCGTGGATCATCTACTTCGGCATTGTCACGGGCTTTCAGAGCGTCTTTGGCGGTATCAGCGTCTACTACGTGATCATCAGTGGCGGCAATACCATCCTTGTTCTGTCCATGATGGCCGTCCTGGCTGTGCTGGTGGTGTCCTGGTACTGGTTGGCGGTGGTCCTCAGTCACTACCGGGAGATGAACGACCACAAAGACATCGTTTGACGCGGGCAGGAAGATCAGGAGATAGCGAAGCTCTGACAGGCGACTGGCTAAGGCAGATCTGGTCCGGAGTGACTCGAAGCTCAGGAGTGCCATATGACATTACGTGCAAGGGTGTTTACGTCTATGTAAGAGGATTCCCGGTGCATCTGCGTGCTTAAGATCTGGGACCATTTGATGTTGGATGATATTTTTTGTGTTCACGTACCAGCTTGAACGATATGCTTGTCGAAATAAATAATCTTTTAAGCACGAACTTGCTGGGTGTGGTACTCCCTGGCCATGTATCGATTATCCACATAACATCACGCCATCATGTTTGACCATGTCACTATCATCCATGTTCCCGGCCACAAGTGGTGTTTCACGTCTGTATGGTAGGCTGGTGTGGAAGCTCGCTGACCGCTTCCCCCAAAATGCACTAATCTGATGAATGCTGTGACGGATTTGCTTAGAGCCGTTCAAGGGAGGTTTTTACACTTGTATGCGCCTTTGACTGAGATTGCTATTTTGAAGAAAATGCAATGGAACTCAAGGCCGTGCCCTTTTTAAAGGCTTAAACCCTCCTCCTGAACTTGAACAGAACTACTGACAGGCGCGCTGCTGTAAGGCGGTACTGCGAGTAGAATCTCCGCAGTCCTGTCGGCAGGCAGCCGGAAAGCAAAATCATTCGATAGACTGAGTTGGGCTTCCTTTGGTGGTAGGTTGAAGGCAAGCGCAAAATAAATATCTACTTAGCAAGCACCTGGGACAGAGGGCCTTTACAGGTAAGGTTGCTTTACCCTATCAACGCGCTATGCATGGGAATGTGCCCGTACCTACCCGCTGCCCATTCGTAACTAGCTGTCCTATTTGGTATATTTTTAGGTATGCTATTTGTGTATTGCATCTGTACTGTTATGTGCTTTTAAGCATGAGAATCGTCCGGCGCGTAAACTGGCGTCCGTCATGAAGTCAAGGTTAAACCTCTCAAGGTTAAATACCGGATTTTTTATATCACTTACAGGTCACCGTTCAATTTCAGATTTTCGCAAAATGATATGTAGCTCAGGAGATATAAGAGATAGAAAGAATGTTTGGAGATTAGTGATCTGGATTTCGCCGTCATTTGAACTTGAACTTGACTCTGAGAGATGAAACGAATGATGATGATCGAGAGGTCAGGACACCTTGGCGGATGCTAATTTGTGCTTTGAAGACAATTCTAATGCTTGAAAATTATGAAATCGGCCGATAACTTCTGGTTGATGTAGACTTCAACGTCATGTGACATTCAAATTGACCTTAATGACTGACATTGAGAGGCCAAGCATCTGTGTCCTAAATCCAAAAAAAAAATGATGTGCATGCCCTAAGAGCGTAATATATGATAGAGATTAACAGTGTTAACAAGGAGGTGATGGGTGAAGTCTGGGTCGATAACTGATTGCACAGCTGCATTGGAATGAGACCAAATCACTGTCGTCTTCGTCGTATGGATGTTTTGTTGAATGTGTTGTAATCCAAGAAGAGCAAATAATTCAGCCAAAGAAACTGACGTGCCATCCATGGTAATGTTCATTGCAAGTTACAGCACATCCGGTTTGGTTAGTGGCCTTGGAGCCGCCGCCACGCGCCGGCGAGAGAGATTGCAGTGACGTCACAATCCACCAGTGGCGCCACCCCCCCCCCCCCACCCCCCCCCCGACCTGACCGGCTCCGACCGCGCCGACCGACGGCGCAGTCGGGATTTCCCCGGACCGTCCCGGGCCGGTCCCGATGTTCACTGCCCCACCGCCCACATTCCTCAGGTTAAGGTTGCGCTTAGCTTACTTTTGCGCCACATTAAAGATGCATGCCGATTTGCCTAGTTCACCAGCCATCATCCTCAAGATGCGTCTTCTTTTCCATTTGCTTATTGGCCATCGCCTTGTATCACGGCCAAAGCCAACGCCGCACGGCCTATGGAGACTGCAACGCCGGGCGTCGAGACTGTCGTTGCCAAGACTCGCGAGCGCGTGTTCAAAACCATATGACATAGTTTTTTATCTGTGGTTAATTATGACTGAATATTGAACATTTTAAAATGAACATGTATTAGCCATATGAATACAAATTTGGGGGCCCCATTTTATACACACTGTACGTTCACGGAGTTCTCAATGTCTCTGAAGAACACAGAAAACATGGAACTGTAGTCTGTATGAATATGAAGAAATGTAGTATGTGACAACTATTGGACCACCCGCGCCGATCAGGCATGTAGTTGCGTCATTGAGGGTTCCCATGCTGATCCGGGGCCAACTGTGCGGGTCAGAAGGCCACCCGTGTCAGGGAGGGGAACAGTGTGAATATGATTTGTTCTTCTAACGGCCTCCAGATCGACCAGAAGGTCCCGCGCCATGTCGCCAGAACGGCGACCAGAAGATATTCGCGATGGGACGGCATGGCCCTTCAGCCCTTGACCGGAACCCGTAATGTGTCCCTGGTGTTCCACTCAAGGGGCTCCTTGCCCGGAAGGAAAAAAGGCACGGGTGTCGATTTGTATTTTTTTGTAGGGGCCCTGCCCTTCCCCCTCCAAAGTTGAGTTCCCCCTCCTCCTCAATGTTGGCTTTCCCCAACACCCAATGATTTTGGCTGGAATACTAAAGATGTCAGTGGCCTTTGAGTCATCGGTGTAAACAAAACAACTGTTTGGATTATCGGCAGTCAAACAACTAAACATCTGTTGAACATAAGTTGTCGTGACATGGTGTTTGAGATCGTCAAAACGAAACAAAACTTTTCGAGGGGCTAACTGCCATGGGTAGCACTATCAAAGCAGGTAAACACGGAAGAAGGCGGTAAAACAAAATGATCAGCGGTGCAAGCAGACAGCGGTTCGAGATGCTATAATCAATCCTGACGGGCGCTCCGCCGCCTCTACGTGGCCGTGGTGAAAGCGATGTAATATATTTGTAGATTTAAATGCTGTGTGATTGGCATTTTGTCGCAGTTTTGGCTTTTTATCGCAATGTTTGTTGCCTCCGTCGGAGAACAAGAGGCATAACGTAGTCGTAAACCTCAAACGCTGAAATTGTAGATATGCGCAGAACTCCTTGGGCAATTCGCAACAACATGTTTGGTATGGTGGATAGAGGTCGGACAGCGTGCTGGCTTTCTCCCGCATACGCCACGGGGCCGCATTCAATGATGGGGAGAATTAATGATTTGTACAGAAGTTATAACGTTTGGTGGTCGGTACCGCACCGTGACCTGGATATGCATCTAATAAAAAATAACAGATTTAGACATTTGGAGCGAACATGTTCCATGTATTTTCGTATTGATGATGTTGCTTTAAGTACGACGTCGAAAAATTTGGGAGACAACGAGAGGAATGTAATGCTTCATCTAATCGGAGCCAACAGTTAGGAGTGACACGCAGATTTTTGCTGAAAATCATAACCGCAGATTTTGGAGCTGAGAAGCGGAACCCGTAACGCTCTGACCACGGCCGCACCTTCTCAGGGCGGCTTGGAGCCGTGGTAGCGGATGGCATAGGCGTAAGAACGTTTCAAAAAGTGGGGGGGGGGGGCAAGCTCAGATTGTACTTAAGGAACTTTTTCTGGAAAGCGAGCCTGATGACCAGGAGGGGGGAAGGGTGTAGGGGTGGAAGCTGTCATCGCTCTATTCAAATGTCATGGCTGCTTTGCTAGATGTGCATCTAGAGCTATGTATCACTGGTGCACAATCTTGCCTATTCGACTCATTTGCCGTTTGGCAAATAAGGCTATCCAGTTTCCCTAGATTATTCATCCATTTCAACATTGGTTTTCCTGGGGAGACGAAATCCCACGAGCGGATAATTATTTTGCGTCACTAAGAAAACATTTGACCCCACAGTGTAGATGCCAAAATACGGCATGTATATAGGCTGGTAATAATTTTGAAAGTGAATCAATGGCTCACAGTGCGCCTGATTTTTCATGCGCCTCCATTTCGCTGGCTGTTTTTTCAAGAAATAAGACTTGTCGCAGCATTTTAGGCGGGAACTAATTCGGGAGCTTGAAACTGATAGAAACAATGTGGCAAAATCCACAACGCTGGAGATTTTCTTTTAAGAATCAAGCCACATAATAAGGCCCACCTGTCATATGTTCCTTATCTGGGCCCTGCTCCAGTCCGCCGTCGGTGGTCACTGCCCTGGCCTGGATGTCTCTGACTGCGAGCTGATCGTGTAGCTACTTTGTTGCATACTTTTGTATCAGCGTTACTTCTACGTGTTGTAAGAAACATGTGCTGGACACATGCAACATTATTTTTCCGAATTATCTTCCCTTATACCACACTATTGCAGAAAATTAGCCTCCGGGAAGCTGTCTGCCTTAGGTATGGATTGGCCCTAACGGAAACTTCATTGCCCATCATGCAACGCACGCGACTTAATCCGCTTTTGTGTAAAGGCACGGGCATACACAGAGCCTTGCCAAGGAGGAACGCACGGTTGACAAAAACCCATCTTGTGGTGACTCCCCCCCCCCCCCCCAAATCTCCGGATATGGCTTACTTGTTAGCAAGTGACACGGTTTTCTTCATTTTATTGTCATTTTTACCTTGCAACCGGAACAGAAACTAGGAGCTGAAGTGAGCTCAATTTTGTTTGCATTTTGAGGTCAATAAGCTGCAGAAATCAGGCGTTGAACGACTGCATGAAAGAAATCACCGGCGCTCTTGATTTACAACGGTTAGCTGACTCTTTCTAAGCCGATGGAATTCAGAAGCTTTGTCAATTTTTTATCTGGGTTCTACAGACATTGAGGACATCGCGAAGGTAGATTGTAGATCGATATGTTTTATCCAAATCTGAAGACGAAAATTTGATTGCATATCGAGTGGCCAACAAAGTGTATAGCCAAGCCATGTTTGTCTGAAAATGTTCACCATTCAGTCGGAATCGATTAGTGATGCAATTCATGTAACGTGTTTTTTAACATGCTCGCTCGCAAATCTTACCAACAAAAAACCTCGGCACCAGGCGTTGCAGTCTCTATAGCCCGCGGGGCGTTAGCTCAGTAGCTAATATTTAGCCGTGGTCCACTGGTGGACGAAAAGGATGACGCTTCTGAAATGATTACCTTTAAACACTTAAATCAACTAGTTATACAAGATATGTGGCATGCGCAATTTTGAGCATGCGCACTTGAAAATTTTAGAAACACAAGCCTTGATCCAAGGCGTTGCAG